TCACCAGGACAGAGAATATCAACAAGGTCAATCTATAAATGTAGAAGGTCGTGTATTCAAAAGAGTCACACATTTTAAGTACTTGGGGTACTTGCTAACACAAGATAATGACCTGAAGATGGAAGTCAGTGCTAGGATACAAAAAGGCAACAAAAGTTTTTTTGGTCTGGGAAGAGTACTGAGCTCAAGAATATTATCGACTAACCTGAAGATACAAATGTACATGACCCTGATACGACCCATAGTACTGTATGCCGCGGAAACATGGTCACTTAGGAACGCAGAAGAAACCAGAATAAAAGTATTTGAAAGGAGAATCCTACGGAAAATCTACGGCCCATGCTTCGACACAAACATAGGTGAATGGCGTAAACGTCATAATAAAGAACTCGAGGAACTATTCCAGAGACCGAACATCGCGAACGAAATCAAGAAAAGGAGATTAACCTGGGCAGGACATGCATGGCGGAGAGTAGGATCCATAGTCAGGACAACAATCAAAGAGAACCCGGTTGGTAAGAGACCCTTCGGAAGACTACGCTTAGGTTGGGAAGACTATGTTAAAAGAGACGTGGAAAGCATTGAACCAGAGATATCATGAAGAGTAGCGGCAGAAAATTAAGATAGATGGAGAGAATTTTGTTTGGTGGTATGGTCTCAATGACCATAAACCAAAAAAAAAAAAATAAGGAAAAGTATTTATCAGTTGCACTATTGATTGATTTTATAATACACAGATAAATCAAGTTATTGAACTATTAGAAAACAATATTAAATCTGGTCATTGTGTAGTAGACATGGGGTATAATCTGTATTCTGTTTACATTATAAAAAAGTATAATACAGAACCCAGCTGAATTATTTTGTACAGCCAGCTTATTTGTCTACTCAAAAATGGTTGTACTTTTGCAATTTTAAAAAAAATACATTTTCCATATTGAGTTATACAAATGAAACAAAAAAACTATACTATATTAAATTAAATTATATTCTTGACACTTGCAGATTAATTTAAGATGTTTAGAAATTCAAATAATTATAATTACATATGAAAAATAATACATTAAAAATATACAAACCACATCCACTAGCTCTTGTAGGAATTTTTTTGATAGTATGCAACATTCTCGAATCAAGTAGTAATGTATATGAACGACATCCTATAGCATATAAAGTACTGTCACTTTTCATTGCCATGCATACATTATCTTGGCCAGATGATAATCTTCTTGAAAATCTCTATAAAGTAAAATGGATAATGAAAAGACAGACTATATTTTGCACATGGGTGCAGCCATTGTTGTAGGTGAGAAGTTGGGAAGGGAATAGAGGAGAAATATAATGTATATTTGTAAGCAATGATAAACAATTGCTAATGAAAAACAATTCTGAGGGAAGTTCAGTTAATAGTGTTGCATAGTCAACAATATATAGACTGTCCCACAAAGGTATGCCTTAAGGGGCCTTAAATATCTCTGTAGATAATAAAGATAATCAAATTCTGTTTTTTTTTTTATATTACTCACAGGGATGAGGGATTACAGATATTTGTATTAATTTTTTTTTTTTAAATGTAATACAAATATAAGTTTTTGTAATCCCTCATCCTTGAGTAATATATATTAACAGAATTTGATTATCTTTATTATCTGCAGAGATATTCAAGGGATATATTTTCAAGGAACAACCTGTATATATCATATAATGGTAAAATAATTACATAAGCATTATATATTTTATTCAATAATATTTCTTTAATATTGTAACTATTTTCAGAGCATGGTTTTTTTGGTAGAAAAGTTGTCCTCAGAAAAAAAATGAGGAATAAGAAGTGGCCTAAATCTAGAAAAAATTAAAAATTAAATTCCTTTAATTCTATATGTTTTGTCTTGTATACACCTGTAAGGTGCTTGCTTACCATGGGACAAGCTTAATTAATACCAAATTAACATCGAAAAATAACAGTAAGTAGGTGTTAGTTTCAATGTCCAGAAATCAAAACACTGACAAACTTTTCAAAATTAAAACTTTAACAAAGTTCAGCTTTACTAATAAAAATATTAATCATTGTTGTTTGTCTAGCAAGTATATACATGGTTTGATCTACTACAACCTACACATATAACTAATATTTAAATGATATATAACTCAATGTTAACATTACATTACATTTTCAAACCATTTAATATTTATATTTATTTTTAACATTAACCATATTGACCAAATATGTTTTTTGCTAAGAATATAAATATTTACTTATTCACTTATGGCCAAAGTAATATTATTTCATTTCAATATTTGAACATTTTAAAACAATGAATTTAAAAAATTTAGAACTATTGTAAGTAATAATGTGTAATATATTAAATTTTTAATTACTTGTTTAAATCGTTCAACATCCCAAATATGAACATATCCATTTAATGATAATGTAACCATTTCTTTTAGATTCTTATTGAATGAGATTGCACGAACTTTTTCTGCTGTTTTACAACTTTTTATTACTGTTGGTTTAAGATATTGAATGGCAGGTTGTATAAAATCACCATCAGCGTCATACCGTTCTTCATAGTCATCATGAACTTGCCATAGTGCAAGCTCAGTATCGCGAGATCCACTGACAAAAAATTCAGTATCTAACCATTCAATGTCAAATATCCTATCTTTGTGAGCACCCTAAAAAAAATATTAATTTAAATAAATAAATAATTATAAACAAAAATATAAGTAAAAATTAAATTATACCTCGGCTAAAACAATTGGATCTAATGTGGGCAATCTATATACAGCAATTTCATTTGAACTATATGCACCTGTAGCTAATAATGTCTTAGATGGGTTTATTTTTATTGAATGAATACCACTTTGTTGATCTCCTAACATATCGACATGTCCTTTAATTGATGGTATTTGATCCATCTTGTCTGAATTAACATTATAAACCATTAACTAAAAATAGAAAAGAAATATTTAATTTAAACATATCCTAGGTAGTAAAGTGGCAAGTACACCCTCAAAGTACATTGGAAACCCGGGATTTAATTTTTGGAGATCGCTAGAGCAAACAGTACTAACGGTTAAGTTTTATTATTCATAACTATTTATGGTTGATATCAAATAAACAACAAAACAAAAGGTAGAACATGATCTACTGCACATATAGTTTCAACAATTTAATTAAAAAGATAGTAAAATACAAAAACAAAGAAAGCACAAAACAATATAGCATGACACTAAACTGCAGGCTCAGAATTATAGACTTGGAACTTGATAAGTGGTGCAAAATCATCCTCATTTTAGTCAATGTTACTTTTATTCATTTTTATATCTTTTGGGAGAGCGAAAATCTTAAAATTCAATGGATCAATACAAATCACTATTTAGCAAAACTGATGTTAATAAGGTCATGATAAACAAAGAACCACATATACTACAAATACATTTGTCCCTTGCCTTAATTTTCAACACTAATTGAAGCAAAAACTTACTATTATTAAAATGAATTAGTTTAGTTGTAGGTATCTACTAGCTTGATATTTCTCAATCTGGGGGTCGCAAAAAAAAATATAAAATATTGGATTACCATGTATTTAGTATATATTTAAGGATCGCTAACAATTTAAATATTCATAGGGGTATTATAATATTTAGGGATCACTACAGTAAAAAGGTTGAGAAACACTGTATTAACTAATACTTTAATAAGATAATAAATAGGTAAATAGGTAGTTACCTAATATCAATTGAATCTATTCAACTAAAATGTTATTAATAAAATAAAAACATTAAAAAAGTCCAGTTGTTTCATTGACAAATTATAAGTTAAGTTTAATGTAAACAAACTGTACATGTTTTACTTACTTTATTGCATTTTGTTCCAAACACAATTTGTTTACTACTAAGCCATTGTGAACAAAAAACTTTATCCATTGTAGCTAATGATATAGGTTTTTCTTTGAATAAATCGTGCGTCAAGATATGACGAGTACCATAATTTTGATTTACTGAATGATACTCTCTCATTCCATACTCTCTGTTTCTTACATAGTCAACAAAATTGTATGAAGAATTTAACATGGTGCACAATGACATTATACTTTCTTCTTCATCATCATCAGAATCTCTATAGCATATAAAATCGTCTGGATTATCATATCTTTTTAATCTCTCCTTTCGAGCTGCTTTCAATTGTGCACTACGGTCATCAAGACGAGATTGATATGCACAAGGTGGTCGTGAACCAAATATTGGAACACGCCTAGTTTGTGCCATTCTGGAATCCTTAAATAATGGTTAATTAATTAATATAGTACTTGACATTTAAGTCATATAGTAAACATATCAAAACAAGGTAGTTAAGTAAATTATATAAATGAATAATAAATATCAATTACCTCAGAAAAACGTTAATATCCTTTATGGAAAAATGTCCAAACTCACTCAGAAGAGTAAATATTTGATATACCTAGGAATTCTATTAAAATAAAAATATTTAATTATAAATACTCACTGTGCAATTATTATATTTAAAATTAAAAATAGGTAGATAGTGTATTAGACATTAGTAAAATGAAAAAATAAACGATGCTATAAGTAGGTCACAATTTGACCAATATGAATCAAAATAGTATTTCTATCATTTTACTGAAATTGAATAAAATAATACGCGAAACCATGAACTTATCCATGATCATAATCAAGATGTATTATACACTAAGATCATAACCATGAAGACTATACAGTATATTATGTGTTCCTTAATTCATCTATGATGATGGCATCGGCGGTGGCATCACGGACAGCACTATGAAATATTAAAGGAACATCGTTTTAAACAGTGTTATTATGAAACCTAAATCAATAATAATAATTAAATATTATAACAAATGGTATCGCCTATTGTCATGAAAAAAAATGAGATAACAAACACATCTAGTCTAACTCATCTCGTCCATAGAGTAATAGATTAATTGTGATGCTGTTCGATTTTGAATTGAGGCGAGAGGTTTACTTCCAGCATGACCAAATAACAAGGAATAAAACTATTATTTAATTTTGTCTTTTACAAAACAACATAAACATATTAAGGTACAGCTGTAAAAGGTAAAATATAAGGTATAAAAGGTTGAATATATTATATAAATTTATTATGATTTAATAAAAAATTTTCATTTATACCTATCTATGAAACGAACACCATGATAGACGAGAGGTAAGGAAAGCGTAGTACATTTATTAATATGTCTGTGGTTCTTCCACAAACAATACAACTCAGCATTAAAATTGTAATTTGTTTAATTAATAATTATGTATGTTACACTAGCAATAAGTTATTAAGCTTATTAATTTGAAAATTAATTTATTGTTTAGTTTTACACTAGTATACACTGTGAGGGGATAAGAATAAAGTATGAAAATATTCTAATAGAATAGTCGATCAGAAAAATGAAACTGTCGAAAAATATTTACGTCGAATCGCCGTATGTTAGAAGAAAAACATTTAATAAGAAAATATATTATCAGAATAATATTCAGTACGAAAATATTTTGTTAGAATTGTATTTCGATAGAAAATACCTATAAAGATGATAACACTGTTATCTCATATCATCTGTAAACAGCTGAACATAGGTTTCTCTACTACAGAGTACTACCACCACGATATCTACCTACAACCTTATTGTGACCATAGATATAATTTTTCTATAGCTATGCTGTGGCCTGCCTTAACAACAGCGCGCTCTATTTGTATTTATTATATATAAAACTAATTTTCTAACTAAATAACTAACTCTAGTAAATTATTTTTCGGCTAAAATACTTTTCCAGTAAAACATTTTTCTGCTTAAATAATTTCTGTAAATATATTTTCGAACAAAATATAGGTCATCCACTGAGATAGATAATAATATACTGGAGCGCGGACTCACGTTTGAAGTTACCCCCACCATCGAAGGGCAAAACATTTCATTTTTACATACAATTTAACATGCACTACTCATTATTTTCGCTCGTAAATCTTAATTTATTTTAATATTTTCCTTATTTCTTTCACATATTAAATGTAGTAATAATTATTCATTAATTAATTTTATTACCATGATTATAACTCATATTCCAAATGATATGAAAAGAATATAAAAATTAACAATAAATTATAATCACGTAGAAAAACCAATAAAAAATTAATCATTTAAAAAAAAATAAATAAATAACATATTTTAAAACAGTATATGTATTTCTACAAAAGAACAAAATAATTTGATTAATATTAATATATATATATATATATATATATATATATATATATATATATATACAAATAATCTAAAAACGATATAACAAATTTTTAAATAGAATTATTTGGCAGTTTCTTTCTGAAATGCTAAGCATGAGACAATCGTACTGAAGACTGTTACAATTAACAAACTATTAACTATCTGCTAACAAGTAATAACGTTAAACAAACCATTATTTATACATCCGTCGTATGTTAAAACGAAATGTTTTGCCCTACGATGGTGGGGGTAATGTCAAACGCGACGCTAAGTGTTTACGGCCGAGTCAGAGCTCCAGTATATTATATCTATCACAGTGCTAGTATATTACTTGTTTTATCAATCAAGCGTAGGTCTTAATAACGTCATTTAGTAGAGACCTGGATCACAAAATGACACACAACTGGATTGAATGACCTGACATTTGTTTTCACAACAGTTGTATTGCCGAGACACGATACGACATCTCTATATTGCTCAATGATCTCATCGACCAACTCGGAAGCACGGCGAGTAATAATGCCACCTTTGATTCCATCAGAGAATTTTGGATTTAAACACCGATGCCTCCGATGCGCGACGCCGTCACAGATGAATTGAAAAACACATGAATGCTTTATTCAAAATAAGAACAGACGAAAACATGTTGTTAGCGCATCCGACCGCACTACGACATCATGATTCGCCGTATACACAGTGGCGAAATCGGTGACGGCGCACGATCGTAAATAATAATTGCCGAATAATTAACGAATCTGCCACCAGGGTGGTCTAGTGGTTCTAAAAACAATATATATGTTCATGGTTGCGATCACGGGGCTGCACTCTGCAGCAAGCTATCCCGTCCAAATAAAATTATGATTCGGTTATCGTCGCCATAACAGAGAAAATCCGCTTTGAGTACCACATATGCGTACGCCCGACAATATCCATGGATAGACCTGACTAATAGACTAACCTTGCCTATAGAGTAGCTGAGGCAGTAACTGGTCAGACATACTACAGTAATGTACAATGTAAAATAATATCACGTAAAAGTCAGAAATCACACGTGGCTCTATCTAGAGTAATTTTTAAAGGAAACATTTGTTTTATCATTGAAAATTAGTTATGTAAAAATAAAAATAATTCTATTCATTGAAAACTAATTAATAAACAAAAATACCTGATAAATAATTATTTTTATATTTGTATTTACATAATTTTAGTGTGTTTACTTTACACATGTATACAATTATTTTTAAAAATTGTGTAATATTAATAAAACATAAAAATAAAAGTAAAATACTTATGAAACTACAATGAAAATCAGTATAATACCTACAAAAGATTTAGGTACAGTATTTTGACATTACAAAATACACTTAATCTATTATTTTGTAGCAACCAAATGACATGGATACCTACAATCATAAACTGTTGGATCTTATTATATTGTATTATTTTAAATTTTGTTAATAATTATGGTTTTAATGTTTAATGATAGTGTAATGTATACACCTATGAAAATGATTGAACAAAAGTACCTAAACTACTAAGCTTCATAGAAAACTTATTTTATTATCAACTATAAGTTAAGGTATGTAATCATTAATTATTATAATTAAAATGTATTTATAACATTATTGTTAATTTATACCTCCCCAATAACATTACAAAAATAATTATTGATTTATTGGTTTTTTGTGAATAATTACATATTTTTTTTTATATTTTTGATAACAAAATAATGAGCATAATATAATAACTAGTATTATAATAGACTACAGAACCTATATAAGCTTTCTATAATAGTCTATATCATTATAAATTACTCTTTAGTTTTTCTATTTTGTTATATAAGATTATGCTTATTGTTTAATGATATAGATAATATAGAATGGATAAAACACCCCTATGATAAATACTTATGGGGTAGCTGTCCCAAAGATAGTTCTATATCCATGGATACCATTGTTACCCTAATAAGCATTCTGATAGTCATTATCAATTATATAAAACTGTGAAAATCAATCACCCGTTTTAGATTATCACTTATTACAACTAATAAATATTTAAAAATATATATATTTATAGTTAAAAATTGATCATCATGTAAATTTGTGAAGTCAAAAAGTAAAAATGTGGCTACATATGAAAAAATAAATGAAAGAATACATAGCAAAAAAAATTATACAAATTGGTCACATAAATTAACATAATTAATAGTTATTAATATAACTATTAAACTCTAAACAATTTTAAGACACAAACCGATGAAACATCTGTTTAAAAATTGGTGATACAGTTTAATTAAAATTATTGTTCTGTAGTTATGCAAAATATGAGTAAATATACAAAATATATTTAAAAAAATTAACAAACACTCTAATAACCCCACACTTGAAACAATAGTAAGATTTGAAAAGGTACTAATAATATTACAGCTTGATTTGATTACTTTAGTAGTAATTATTATTTAACAAAAAATTTAAAACACCAATCATTTATAGAAAGTATGAAGCATTATGTTATATATATAATACAATAGATATGTATAATTTTAAGTAAAAATATAATATTAAATTATTAATATTGTACAATATACATGTAGCATAATATAATGTATACTTTGTTCCAAAAGCACCAGGTACTACTGGTCACAACGAGAGCATTTTGGTGTTATGCGCAAAAGCAGTATGCTCTTTTGGAACAGAGTATAGTTCAGGGTTCCTATTGTTACTCTAACAAGGTTCTCAACCTGGGTAAGGGAAGAAAAAAATGATTAGCTATAATGCAATTCATTAATCCATAAATTAAAATATAAATAATAATTATACATATTTGCTTTTACTTTTGTGCATTAAATAATTAGTTATACAGATTTAATAATAAAAATGTGAAATACTGAACACATTGATGAAATAAAGAAAAATAATTTTAATAATATTTTAAATGTTCAAACCCACTTTAAAAATAATATCTTGATATAAATATCAATACATATTAGATAATAAATTATAATCAAATAATTTATTTCTATACTCTATGTAAAACGACCAATTTGTATAATTTTTTTTTCCTATGTATACCTTCATTTAATTTTTTATATTCAGTCACATTTTATATTTTGACTGTGCAAAAAAATTGCAAAAAATTGCACTTGAAACTTCTAGATTTTAATTTGTACTTATGTGAAGTGTATTTAAAACTTATTTAGCAATAAATTGAAAAGATAGAAAAAAAGTTGCAAATGCAATAACATCCATGCCCTACTAAAAATAAAATTTAAGGCCCAGAAGTTGAATAACTTAAGTCTAATTATCCGGAGAAAAAATAGCATTTATAATTTGTATGTATTCAATTTGACAGCATCTTAAATATTTGTTTCATTGTATTTTTTCGATTTAACATTTAAAACAAGAATTTAAAAGATAAATATTAAAAGTGCATTAATATCATTTAATAGGTACCCAATAATAATGTTACATACTGTTCCATTTTTGAAGTGAACCAAACCTATTATAATTAAATTATGTTCAAATAAAAATAAACATATAAAACTTCTGCCACCAAATTACATAATAATGCAATATTTAATTTTATATTCTGATTGGAGTGAAGAAATTTAGTTTTATAAAGATATATTTTTTTTTTCTGTGGACAATTTTTCTGTCAGTAATTTTACTCCAACATTTAAAAATAGGATTTTTTCAACAAAAAAATTTCACTAAGGTGGTATGTAAAGAGGTCGTTTTTCGATATCCTCAGGAATTTTCCTAACAAATGTGAAAAATCAGGATAAAACATGGGAAAAACATAGGAAAATTTTGAAAATCGTTACAACATTAAACAAATATTATTAAAAAAAATATATAAAAGATATTTAATTATTTTACTAAAAAATGACATATATTTTTGACAAAGCATTATTATCAACTAAACTCTGCTCAGAATCTTTTTTTCGTAAGTAATGGTTTATCATTTCTCATAGGTATACATTAAATTACCTATAACAGTGGCTGCTCCAGGCCCCATTATTTCTATTTTTAATGTTAAAATAAGAAATATAAAATCTGCCGGCATCAACTAAACCACCAGCACTAACTTTTTTTTTTAGTTTATTTCGGGTGTGATAAAATATTTAAATATTTTGATTCGGGTATAAATAAAAATTGTACGTTCAATTCAAATTTTTAATTTAAAGAAAAGTTAGGTTTGGACTTTGAAAATCAAGGTCCATAATATTACCAGTAATAATATGTACAATTCAAAATATTTTTATTAGGATTTCTATTTTACTTGTAAAAAATTTTAGAAGTTGCGGTCAATATCTCATGAGACTTTTTTAATTTGAATTTCAATACATCAAATAAGTGGCGCACATTATTCTTAGAAAAAATTAGTTAACTACTACCTTAGTTATAAATATTATTATGAAGGGACTAACACAATAGCTCCTTAAATAAAAAAATGGATTGAAGATTTTTTATAGGTAATTATTACATGTAATTTTGTAAACTATACACAGATACTTTTTCATTCGCTGAACTGATGTTCTGAACCATAAGTACAATGAGAATGCTGTTTAAACAGATGAATGAGTTTCAACAAAATGTTCTGTCTTTTGTGAATTTCTGGAATTAAGGTACACTGTAATATTGTTTCAGAACCCAAAAACGAACTCTTCTAATTCTCTATTCCATCTATGCTCATAAACTGTTTTTCAAAACTAATTTAAAACTATTTCCATTTATAAGTGATCCAGAATTACAATGTTTATGTATGATATAGGTTCACCTATATCATAATTACCCCTTGAGCCGAATTAAAATAAGTCCTTCGCCTTTACATAGGCATAGTTCATGAACACATATATTACATTATGTACAATTTTAACTAATATTTTTAAATAATTTAAATTTATTTGATAAAACCCTAAACAAAGCTCTACTTATACTGAAGATTTAAAAGAAAAGTATGACAAAATCTGTATATATAGGTAACTATATTGTTTTAAAAAAAATAGTAATTAAATTTGTGCTCAAATAATTTTTTTAAAACATTTGAGTACCTAGTATTTTAAATACTATTTTTGAAGAGTAAATTAAATAATAGACAAATATTTTTTAAAAGTATTCTTTACAACATTGGTAATAGGCAATTTGTATTATTAGGTAAGTAGGTACCTTAAAACTTAGGTAGTAAATGATGTCGAAAAAAAAAACTAGAAGCCTTCGAGATGTGGTGTTGAAGGCATATGGAAAGGATAAGTTGGATAGAACAAAAAAAAAATGAAGAAGTACTTAGAACTGTGGGAGAAAAATGTACACTCATAGATATGATTATACTATTTATCACAAAAGAACGGTAAAGTTTCGATGAAAACCAGTCATTCTTACGCATCCCCATGCTGCACCTCGCCCGGAGCTCCCACCACTATTGGGCCAGATGTAATCTGATAGTGATCCGTAGCTCAGTCTGCATGCGCAAAACACTACCTTTTTCTCATAAAAAATATAATAGAGCAAGATGCTGGAAAATGGTGGGCATTCCTTGAGACACCCAGAAGAGTTGCATAATATAATACTAGAGGGTATGATAGAAAGAAATAAAACTGTAGGTCGCCCTCAAAACTTTTATATAGGTCAAATTAAATGTGATGCAAGAGTCAAAACCTTTAAGGAACTTAAAAAAGATGAGTATTTGGTTAGAATGGAGAATTGGTGTTGTAAACCAAACTACGGGTTAGAAAAAAAAAAAGTAGGTAACTAAGTTTAGTTGATTACTTTAAAGCCAATTTTGTAAGAATTTATTTGGTGTAACTACCTACTACATCAATAGTAAAGCTGAATCCTTAACTTTTATTTTTAACTAATTGTAACAATAAATTAAATATTGAGTTTAACATTTAAAAAAAAAATTGTGCGCCACTGTATAAAGTATATTTAGTAATATTGTTACATTATAACTTGTAAGTCAAATTTTCACCATTGGTTTGAGAATTTGTCACACGGGTACCTAGGACACTGGGTAGTACCAAATTATGAAACCACCTAAGTGTAAAATGAGAAATAACTAAAAACATGATTCACAAATACAATAAATCATATAAATTTTGAAGTACTTACTTAAAGGATTGTTCACATTATGGAAATGCAAAATACGAATGACACAATGACATTTCAAACACTATATTAAATGTTCCTATCACTAAAATAAATTATTAATTATACCCATTGAACANGATAACTAAAAACATGATTCACAAATACAATAAATCATATGAATTTTGAAGTACTTACTTAAAGGATTGTTCACATTATGGAAATGCAAAATACGAATGACACAATGACACTTCAAACGCTATATTAATTGTTCCTATCACTAAAATAAATTATTAATTATACCTATTGTACATATAATTGATTTTAGAGTTCGTGCCCGCAGATGAGTATACAACTACTTCCGCTGGCAATATTTGATAAAAGAGCCCAGTGGTTCCTAAAATCCGTAAACACTGCAATTGAGGCGTAAGTGGGGCAATAAATACGCAAAAATGCACAAAAAGAAATCTAAAAAAACGGCACTAATAAACAGTAACTTTGAACTAATTATTTCCAATAGGTAGCTCTAACTAGGTAGATAATTATACCAAATATAATAAGGAACATATCTATAATATCGTTGGTATTTTTACTAAGGTATTTATGTTAAACACTAATACAACTAACACTTAAAATAAAAACATTGTGCGCCACTGCATGAAATATATTTAGTTATGTTGTTACACTATAACTTGTAAGTCAAATTTTCACCATTGGTTTTAGAATTTGCCACAGGGGTACCTAGGACACTGGGTAGTACCAAATTATGAAACCACCTAGGTGTAAAATGAGAGATAACTAAAAACATGATTCACAAATACAATAAATCATATGAATTTTGAAGTACTTACTTAAAGGATTGTTCACATTATGGAAATGCAAAATACGAATGACACAATGACACTTCAAACGCTATATTAATTGTTCCTATCACTAAAATAAATTATTAATTATACCTATTGTACATATAATTGATTTTAGAGTTCGTGCCCGCAGATGAGTATACAACTACTTCCGCTGGCAATATTTGATAAAAGAGCCCAGTGGTTCCTAAAATCCGTAAACACTGCAATTGAGGCGTAAGTGGGGCAATAAATACGCAAAAATGCACAAAAAGAAATCTAAAAAAACGGCACTAATAAACAGTAACTTTGAACTAATTATTTCCAATAGGTAGCTCTAACTAGGTAGATAATTATACCAAATATAATAAGGAATATATGTATAATATAGTGTGTACTTTTACTTGAGTACATATGTAAAACACTAATACAACTAACACTTAAAAAAACATTGTGCGCAATTATATGAAATATATTTAGGTATGTTGTTACATTATAACTTGTAAATCAAATTTTGACCATTGGTTTTAGAATTTGCCACACGGGTACCTAGGACACTGGGTAGTACCAAATTATGAAACCACCTAGGTGTAAAATGAGAGATAACTAAAAACATGATTCACAAATACAATAAATCATATGAATTTTGAAGTACTTACTTAAAGGATTGTTCACATCATGGAAATGCAAAATACGAATGACACAATGACATTTCACACGCTATATTAATTGTTATTTTAACTATAACAAATTTTAAAATATACTTATTGTACATATTATAATTGAGTTTAGCGTTCGTGCACACAAATGAGTACACACGTACGTACCGCTGGCAATATTTGATAAAAGAGCCCAGTGGTTCCTAAAATCCGTAAACACTCCAATTTAGGCGTAAGGGTGGCAATAAATACGCAAAAATACACAAGAAGAAATCTAAAAAAACGGCACTAATAAACAAATCGTATTTAGTGACGTATCGGTATATAATATATCCAAATTGGTTATCTATGGCGCACGATAAAAAATAAAATGAAATTGAACAATTTAGCTAATTTAAAGACTACACCCGCCATGTTTTTTTTTTTAAGATTATCTCTTCAAATACCTCTATTATAGTGTGTCATAGACGCACGGATTAATTTTTGATTTTTTTTTTTTGTCAAGTTACATAACTTGAAGTTAAGAAAAATTAACTTTGTCACAATAAGGGTTATTTTTTTCTCAAAAATATTACTGGAGTTTAATAATTATATTTTTCGTGTCAATGTATGGAAATAGTGCAATATATTATCAAAAATGATAACAGAGAAAATAAATTTATTTACACTTATTAAATTTGCAAAAATAAAATAAAATCTTTGAGTAATATTAAGTAAACAACTGTATAGGTAACAATAACCATAATAGTAACGATTAATTTAGAGATTTGACTACCAAAAAGTAAATTAAATTATGCATAATTTATTTACACAAAATATAATTAAATTACCATACAATTACTTAAAATGTAATTTTTTTTTAGTAACTTATAACTTGTAACTAATTAAGTCATTCCCAATAGGTACCTCTAATTAGGTAGATTATTATACCTAATATAATAAGGAATATATGTATAATATAGTTGGTACTTTTTCTTAGGTACTTATGTAAAACACTTATACAACTAACACTTAAAAATACATTGTGCGCAACTATATGAAATATATTTAGTTATGTTGTTACATTATAACTTATAAGTCAAATTTTCACCATTGATTTTAGAATTTGTCACATGGGTACCTAAGACACTGGGTAGTACCAAATTATGAAACCACCTAGGTGTAAAATGAGAAATAACTAAAACATGATTCTCAAATACAATAAATCATAAGAATTTTGAAGTACTTACTTAAAGGATTGTTCACGTTATGGAAATGCAAAATACGAATGACACATTGACACTTCAATCGCTTTATTAATTGTGACTATTACTATAGTAAATTATTAACAATACTTACTGTACATCTTATAATCGATTTTACAGTTCGTGCCCACTGATGAGTATATACGTCTGTACCGCTGGCAATACTTGATACCAGAATCCAGTGTTTCCTAAAATCTGTAAACGCTCCAATTTAGGCGTAAGGCGGCAATAAATATTCAAAAATGCACAAGAAGAAATCTAAAAAATTGGCACTAATAAACAAATCGTATTTAGTAACGTACCGGAGCATAATATATCCGAGATGGCTGTTCTTGGCACTCGATAAAAAATAAAACATAATTGAACATTTTAGCTAATTTAAAGACTACACCCACCTTGATTTTTTTTTAAGATCATCTCTTTATATAAATTTATTATAGTGTGTCTTATAAGTACGTTAAAATTTTTCATTTTTCTTTTTTTTTTTTTTGGTCAAGTTACATTACTTTGAAGTTAAAAAAAAGTAACTTTGTTAGAATAAGAGTTAATTTTTTTCTCAAAAATACTACTGGATTTGAGTTTAATAATTATATTTTTCCTGTCAATGTAATAGTACAATACATTATCTAAAATGATAACAGAGAAAATAAAATTATTAACACTTACTAATTTTGCAAAAATAAAATCAAATCTTTGAATAATATTAAGTATACAATTGTATAGGTAACAACAACCATAATAGTAACGATTAATTTAGAGATTTGACTACCAAAAAGTAAATTAAATTATGCATAATTTATTTACACAAAATATAATTAAATTACCATACAATTACTTAAAAGGTAATTTTTTTATAGTAACTTATAACTTGTAATTAGTTAAGTTATTCCTAATAGGTACCTCTAGGTAGATTATTATACTTAATATAATAGGGAATATATGTATAATATAGTTGGTACTTTTACTTAGGTACTTACGTAAAACACTAATACATGTATATCTTAGGTAATAAATTTTACTTGCCTAATTAACTATAAATAAAACCTATTTATTAACAATTAACCATAGATGTGATGTATATTATACTACATGCTTCCAACAGATTCTAAAATAACAATATTAGTTATGTCTATATGTAAATCTATACCCACTGATCAAATATTTTTATTAATCTATGTAAATGAATCTCATCTTTATCATTACTTATTCAGTTTATGGTTCAAGTACCAAGATAGGTAGATACATGTTTTTACTAATGTAAAGAATTTTTAAAGTTTATAAATGGAGATTTTCTATGAATAATAAATAAATAAGGTAACATGTAAAGGCGGTATAGTCATTCTTTTAAATTAAATTATAAGTAATTTTATTTTTAGGATACCAAAAATACACAAATGAGCAGTTGGTTTAAATAACAAAAAGATACATTAAACAAATGTCTAAATGATTTAAAAATTAAGTAAAATCATAAAGAGATGCAGTAAAGTTGTAATTAATTTGGTCGTCCGAATACTTTTACTAAGGAAGAGGAAAAAAATGTTTGTAGTTTTTTATTAAAAAAAAAAGGGTGATATAAACTATACATATTATGTTCCTTTATTTAATCTTAAATACATATTATACAAGTCATACATTAAAAGTTATGTATTTATAAAAGTTTATAAAAAGTTAGTTAGTTACTTTTAAAAAGTGGAAAATACCAGTACATGACTAGACAATTTTGATTTTCAATATCTCGCAGTGTCTTCTCTTTTGGCACACAAAGCATTTTGAAATAAAATATTTATACATTAATTGTACACTAGAAAATTTATTTTTAATAAAATATTTATTTAAACTTACTCCTACTAAATTGTGGTTTTTTATGGGGGGGGGTCTGTATTTCCCTTTTTGGGAGGTGGTTCCCCACGCAGGTGGTAGTGGTCTCCTGAACACATTTTCAAATGTTAGGTAGGCAACTTGCTGAACTATTAACAGTTCAATTTCAGGAGTTCAATAAGCAACATTGTTTACAATTTGGGAACCACTGGGCATTCTTATCAAATATTGCTGGCGGAACAAACGTAAATATACCGGCCATATTAGGGGTGGATCAATATATAATAACAGTATAGCAGTTGTATATATGTTCATATGGTAAACAATGGTAGCGGGGCCATACTATTTGTCCACACTGGCTAGACAATCTGACCGAGGGAATTTTGGCGTTTGGTTTTGCATGTTCACATGAACAATCCGCGGCATTTCGAATTGTTTTACTGTCCCATTATTACTTATATCATAATATTATGGTTGTAGGTAAAATGATCAAGCAACGGCCCGTGTTTACCATAATTACGACCAAAAAGGTTTACACTTCTCCTTCATATTGTCATTTTCTCGCTTTCAACTACTAACTACCGTTTTCATAGCCGTGGTAGGCAGCTACTAATTATAATAGTTATATTAGATATTAGTAATAATAGTATAATAGTATTATATTAGAGCTATTTAATACTAAACGGCTGTAGTTCTGTGTTTATAGTTAATAATAATATTAATGATTAATGAACAAGTGCTTCAGACTAAGTAGTTAAAACCTCATTTATATTTAGTAGGTATAACTCAACAAAACTGTTTAAAAATTTAACTCATGGTTAAGTTGTAAGTGGTCAAATAAAAAAAACAAATTTTAGTTAATTGCTTTAGTATTTTTTTCCCATATTGAGCTTTTTAAGATCAACCGCAATAATATGATCTTATCGTTTATGACATTCGCGGTTAACGTTACCACGGTAGTTGTTCTCCGTTTTTATGATGATGACGACAACCATAGATAATAATGATTTATTATCTATCTCTACAACACCTTTTCGTTAACCCACAGAAAATAAACATATTGTTAACCTTATCTCTTTTTTATAAGTCAACCCTGTGTTTTTTGCATGGTCCAGAGCAGCAGAGCATAGATAATACGTATACTAATCGATTGCTCGTGCTCTTCTTCCGTAATATTCGTCGACCGTCGTTCTTCAATATAATTTCGATTTTGTTTATACGGATATATCTATTGTATTTGTTGTAGTCACAACTACCCTAGCATTAGTTATTACCTACGTTTCGACAGACAACTAAAGTACATTGTCTGCTGTCCTCTTATTGCCAAGTATAAACGCGCACGCGTCGCTACCGCCCTATTCATTCGTAATCACACATCCACACTCGAGGTCAATCACTAAATCCATAGTACGCAACCAACATTACAACACAGACAATATCAATATTTTTCAAAGAAAGTAAGTAAAATCGTTTATACTTTTCATTATTATTTGAAAAATATTGTTCCATTTTATTTTTAAACTACTATTCTATAAATTATTAGAACTATGGTTTACAAAATAAAGAAACACTCGTCGATGTTCGTTCACGTGGTGGATGACCATCATGACGCGTTGCGTTATATCTATCGAGAAATAGGTTCAAAACATTTGCCCCTGTATGGTAATGTTCTATTACATTTTGATTCGCATCCAGACTTGTCCATTCCAAAAGATATGCCGGCTGATTATGTTTATGAAAAGGAACAATTATTTGATTCATTGAGCATTGAAAACTGGATTCTACCAGCAGCGTACGCTGGTCATTTCGATAAAATTATCTGGGTAAAGCCACCCTGGGCAAGACAATTAAGTGAAGGTGAAACTGTGTTCAGTATTGGCAAACATAAGACATCTGGAGCTATAAGACTGACAAATTCTAATGATTTCTATTTGAGTGAAGGTCTTTATTGTTTAGAAGATGATCTTGAAAATATTAAATCTATCAAGCTATTTGTGTTCACCATGTGTAGTTCTGTTTTTGAAGGCAGTGAAGAAAAATTGGAGATCTTGCACAATAAGTTTAATGATTACACCAGAGACAACCCTCATTATATCTTAGATTTTGATTGTGATTTTTTCTCCACAAACAATCCATTTCTGACCATGTACAGTAAAGCAAATATGTACAATAATCTCCATAAAATCTATACATTTACTTCTCCAGAAAATAGAGACGACGTTAATAGTTTGCTCCAGTGTTCTCGTTCTAGAGAAATTTTGTTACAAGAGTTAGAATCTGTATTCATGCATCTTGACGATGGAAAGTCATTAGACAATTACCCTACTGGAAATTTGACTGCAGTAAATCCTGAAGATTTATCCTTTGTGGTGACTGAATTGTTAAAACACTATGACTCCATTGACTGGTTAATTGTGCACAATGCCGGTTGTACAATTGATAATATTGAATTACCTAACCATCACACTGTTATGACCGATATTGCTCAATCTATGAACATTGTGTTTAACTTTTTATCTATGATACATAAACCAGCTGCCATTACAGTTGCCTTGTCCACTGGCGATGAATACTGTCCATTGGAAAGTGCAGACTTTATTAGCGAAACATTGTTCCTAAAGCTGGAATGCTTGTACAATAAATTGAATGTTCAAAAATGTACTGAAGGTTCCTAAATTTAAATGAGTACTGAAACATAAGTTTTAATCTGAATTATAAGTTTGTTTAATGCAGTTAGTATGTTTTTTTTTTATTTTATGTGTATGTAGGTACAAAATAGGTTTCTTATTTTGAATATAATCTTTAAATATAATTTATTTGTGAATTAATTAGTTTATGATTATTATTGTATCTTGCATTTTTGTCAAATGGTCATTATCAATGTTAAAATTTATAAACCATAATTTATTATATAATTTTAACAACTAAATGTTTAAGTGTCTAGTGTTTAAATAATTTATATAGATACATTTTATTTAAAACCTTTAAAATTCCTCTAAAACCTTTTCATAACAATTGTTGTTTTTTAAAAAAAATATAATACAAATTCATTAATTTTGAATTAGTTATATATCATTTTAAAATAATAATCATTAATATTAATGCTCAGCACTGTCTAGTTGTTAATAGTTTTAAAGTACTAATTTTATAGTATATTTTTAAGTACTTATACACAATATAATAACATACTGATTAATTACTAATTTTTGCAACAAAACAAATAATTAAATTTTAATTTAAATAAAACAAATGTTATTACATATTATAATTATTTTACATAGATAATTTAGGGATGTAACTATATTTTCAAACTTGTTAGCTGCAAAATAAACTTGAATAATTTTGTATGTTTTTAAAGGGATTGTCAAATATTTTTAGGTAGTTATAATTCAATTTATAGTCATTAATGATTAACACAGATTATATAAAACAGTCTGAGTATATTTAATGTGTTTAACATAGGCTTGCGCACGAGGGGGCACAAGATGGGCAGCTGCCCCTCCCTGCCCTCCTACGGGTTATATTTTTCTTCCAAAAACTGTGAAATTTAAATTATTATATTAAATTTGTAATTAAATTAATGATGTAAAAATTAAAACACTTTTTTTATTGTAAAACAATATTACATTATATATATATTGTTATATCTACTTCCTTTAAGCAGAGCTTGTGTTGGAATTAGAAAGTTACTTCTATCGCTAATATTAATTTAACTAACTATAATAAACAAAGTAATATTAAATTATATTACGTATAATATATATATATGTATTCTGCCCCCTGCCATTAAGGTCTGCGCATGCCTATGGTGTTTAACCTTGCACCTATTTAATATTCAAATTAATATCAATCATGCTGTGATTGTTTCAATATACCTGTAATATACCTCTTGTTTTTCTATGTATAAATATTATTTTAATAAGGGAAATTGTATATTATAAATATATTATTCACACAAAATAAATGTTGGCTCATAAAACTGTTTTAAGTACATTTTTCAGTATTATTATATACACATTGATTATAACAAAAAATATGCATTTTGCATGTGTGCACTTAATTGTTAAGTTTAATAATTGCTATTAAATTTTCATTTAAAATTTACTAGTATAATTTGTTATCTAATTTTGTTAGTATACAATTTAGTTGTTTATATTCATGTTTAATTGATTAGGTATTTTGAAAATTATTATAAATTTAATAATATAGATTTTATGTTATAATATATTAAATAAAAATATAAAAAAAGATAGTTACATAACTTAATGGTTTTGTATTATTATTCAAGTCTTAAAGTATAATGTTATATTTTAAAACTCCATTTTTTAAGAATTATATGATTTCATTAAGAATCATTTTTTTTTTTTTTATCAACCTTAAATAAAAATTATAAGATCTATTGGAACATTTTTAGAAGTTCTTAAATTAAGAAATATTTAACTTTTGTGAATCTATAATTTGATTATTGAGATTCATAAAAGGTTGAAAACCACTGGAATATTTAGGTTTAATTTTTCATTTAAAATTTATATAAAGTATATTATTTACCTTATACTTTACTTTGGATTTAGGTGACATAAAATCATATTATAAGAATTTGTACAAATTTAAGTGTTTTTTTTTTTTTAATGTTTTGTGATTTTTAATTTTTAAAATCTTTCATAGTAAATTAACAAGGGCATCCTCTAATATTATGATTATATAATTTACCTCAGTTTACAAACCTAAAATAATATCGTTATAAATAGTACATTAATGATTGATTTTTGAACAATTTAAAATTAATGTAATATAATATATTTAGGAAAATAGTGATTAGTTATTGAACTGTTATATTTCATTTATTTGAATAATAAATATTAAAAAATAATGTTTTAAACAATATGTTATATAATTTTACTTTTCAGATCCTTCAAATCATTATTCGGAAAGACTTCCGTTACGTAAATTGTATTATGCTTAGCTAGGTGTTACCAATGGGTGCCTTCCCTTATTTGTTATACATGCTATTTATTTTTATTATATTCATTCAAAAGACCTATTTATTGTAAAAATTATTATGTATAGATTGTAGATTTCTAAAAAACAATAATAATAAAACAAATTGTATTATGCTGAAGAAAAATTATATGATTTTAAATTAAGAACTGTAAAAGAAATTACTTAAAGTTGTTACTCACCTGCAATTACAACTACAATAACTAACATATTTATTGAGATGGTATAGTCAACTGTACTGATGAATTAATAAAAGACATGGCTGCTGATTTGAGTATCAGAATGTTGAGTGTCCAAACTGTTATGCACTGGTTAAATGTCCATGAGTGTCTAACCATTTAGTGAGATGCATACATTTATAACAAAGTACTTATTCTTATGTATACAAGAAGATATTAAAATTTCTAATGATAAATCCAAACTTAATGATGATGATATACAAAGCAAACCAAAGAATTATTAATACTACAGTAACAGTAATAGTAAATCCAAAAAGAAACCTGCAAAATAAAATAACTTAGGTTATATTTAATACCTAAATTATAACTTACAATATTCTTTTATTTCAAAATAATAAAATAAATAAATATACAAATAAAAAATAAATTAATTAATAAATCCTGGAGCATTATGATAAGTGTATTATATGACTGGTTTCAAATTAAGAATTCATCATCAGGTGTATCACAGTCAAAATGTAAAATGTGATTGAATAACATAGAAAATAACCTTCCTATAGTACTATCTACACAAAATTTTCTTTCAGAAAAAGTGTCACACTTACATATTGAAGCAAGATTTCTGGTAGACATTTTTGTCACAGTAGGTATAAAAAAATATATTAACATCATTATAAACCAATACATTCTTTACTGCATACAGAAACTCAAATATTTAATATTATGTATAACAATATAATACCTACCTAGTTTATATAGTTTTTTTCCAAATTAGAGCTTAAAGATTAAGCTAAAAAAAAAAAATAGGTATATTTCTTCTAACTATAACAATTTAATATTTTCATATTATTATTAAAATATGTTATAAAAAATAAATATTAGTTTTGTGTTTAAACAGCTTATTAAATTTATTTACAAACACCAATTTTTTCCTTGTTATTTACATAGAAATTATTTTTTATTTGCTTATTTAAAAATCTTTAGGTACATTTTAGTAATTTATTTTAAGTAATTTTATGTAATTATTATATATCATTGATTTCCCACCAAAACTTTGAAAATCATTTTTTTTCTTGTATGTGTAAACAATTTCTGAACTGGAAATTTTGCTACAGTCAAAAACTTTATAGAAACTTTTATGTAGTACCTATTTTTGATCTAGATGGTACATTGAGATCAGTTTTTGATTCTCGTTGTAGTTTTCTTGACAGTTTTAAAAAATTTGTTAAAACAAATTTACAAGGTTATACAGAATATTATCTATATATATTATATTATTATTAAACTTAAGCTATTATTTATTATGCAAAATTCTATAGTGTATCATTTAAAGGAGCAAATGCATCTTATATTTTATTTAGAATATAGTCAAATTTTATTTTAATTACTCTTACTTATTTATTGTACACTTTTGTTTATTTTTTATTTTTACAATAACGCCATACAGTTTTTTTAATAAAAATACAAAGTAGAATATAATATTTAGTACAATTAAATAAGACAACAATATAAATAAAATTTACGTTTTTAGAGAGAGAAAAGGAAAATATCAAACATAAATTTGTACTTTTTATTATATTTTAACATGTATTGGTTAAAATTGTCTTGTGTAGGTAGATACTTCGGAATATTAAATAATAACATTGTATGTGTAAATATAAATGTAATGGTTTTCTGTGTAATATATTGTTTTATATGTTAATAGATCATACTCAATACTGATACCAAAAATCTCAGCTGGTGTATTTTACTTTATTCACATATTATTTTTTAAAAATAAGAATATAAAAATTTTATATTATCCATATAATTAGGATGAACCAAAACAATTTTTTCTTTAATTTCTCTTTTGGTATGATTGATTTATACAAAATAATGAATATAAATAGACTCTCACATCATGCACCTCATAAAAAAATGCACTTAAAAATTTGTAATTGTAGTTATACTTACCTACATACTTAATTTTTGATGTCTGATAAAAGCTGATGTTTTAATATTTAGTACTTGCAAGTGACAAAGAAATGAAACCAATATGTCAATATTAGGTACCTATCTTATTAGTTTGTCAAATTATAGATTGGATAACCAATATTGTCAAAGTTATTGGTGATATAAAATGTATAAAGCTTGACTTGATTTTATTTTAATGATAATTATATCATAGGTATTGAATGTAAAACACTTGTAATTTTTTTAAATTCTCAACTGTTATTGTATCCAAGAAGTTATAGTAGTACATTTTTACAGGAATTAAAATACAACAGATATTAATGTTTGTGGTACAGTTAATATATCTACCATACATACCATATGTATACTTGTCCTGTCATAGGATCTGCATTTATCAAAAAATATGGTAAATTAATAACATAGGTAACTATTATGGGGATATTTATATTATTCAACAAGACAAAACAATAGTTAATAATAATGTCGCTCTATTACAACACTGTCTATAAATATAATAAATAGTTATATTGCAATGCCGTTTTGTTTATAGTATAATATTTTGAAACTATTAGTTGGTATAGATACCTACACACATTAAAATAGTATAATATTACTTAATAAAAACCCGAACAGCCTCATAGGTTAGGAGGGGAATATATTAGATCTGATGGTTTTGATCCATGGCGACTGTGGGTGTTTCAGCAGGATGTTCAATCAATCTGACTTTCTGATATTTTTCTGCAAAAAACATTACAAAACGAGTTAATGCGTGTAGTTATTATGATATGAATATGTTTTTAGGTTAATTGTATATTTGTATATGTACTAACCAGGACGAAGCCAAAGTCACACTTTAATTAATAAAACGTTTATTTGCATTTATCTATATTTTTTTTATGTTAGAAGCAGAAAACAATACAAATTGGAAAAAAAAAAAAACTAATAACATTAATAAAGTCTATATCAACAAAATAACAAGAATGACAGACCAGGAACTAGATTATGGTAAGTTTTTTGAAATTTTCGCAAATGTATTACAATGTTAAATCAGTATTAATCAGGGCACATGACAAAGATTTTCTTTTCCACGAGTTAATATTGTTTTATATTTTTTATTTGTAATTATTTTTTAAGATGATGTGACACATTATATAACATATTTAATCACTTATATGATATCTCGTGCTTATCACAATCTTATGATAATCTTATCATAGTCTTATCATTACAACATCTTTAGGAATACAATATATAGAAACTTAATAAAATAACTTAATATATGCTTACAAATTACAATACTTAAATATGATGCTTACTAATTAAACAATACAAATACTAATTAATAGTTCTTAAGATTCTACAAATTAAGTTTATTTGGTTTTTCAATTTTTCTACCAGCCCTTTTTCTAATACACCCTGTCACTTCTTTTTTCTTACTATGCTCTAGTTGTAGAGAGTATTGTATTGGATCATGAAAGTGAGTCCGAGCAAGAAATATCTGAAGTTTCCGAAGATGAAACCGATAGCTCAGAATATAGTTCTAATGAAACTGTTGAACAAAATGTACGTTCTCAAAATTTTATTTATGGAAAAAACAGGTACAAATGGTCTTTACAGCCTTTTCCACAGAGACGTACTCGATCTGATAATATAATATCACATCTTCCTGGTGTAGTTGGCTCTTCAAAAATAATTACTAATAGTAATCCAATTGATTTTTGGACCATTTTATTTTATGTAAAACACACGGCGTTCATGTATCGTTCATGTATTTATGTGTTAATTGTATGGATACAGAGTAACTAAACATTTTTATTTATTTGTATTTTATAATGTAAGGAACTTTCCACAAATATATTTTTTTTTATTTGAATTTCATTAATTAACTAAATTAAGTGTTTAATATTTGAGTAACATTTAAAATATATTTCATACAAAAAAGTCAAGTCTTAAATAATAAACTAATACCTAAGCTTTTAAATTTGTTTGTAGTTGGTTAGATAAAAAAACGTCCAGAGAGGTACAATAAGTGTTTGTAATTTTTTAGAAATAAATGTTTTAAGTTCTAAATTTTATTTTATTTTTTTGTTATTGTATCTAAACTTAACTAAAAACCAATGGGTATTTCAAATTTGAATGTAAATATATTTTTTTAAGTAATTTATTCAAACATTTATAAATAATCATGTAAATTTGCAAGATTAAAATAAATTTGTATAAAACACTTATATTTGAAAAAAAAAATTGTGTTATTAGTTAAAAATATTCATTTCATAGAAGATAATGAAAAAAAAAAAAAAAAAAATTGAATAACTTATAGGTAGTTCAAATTTCGGGTCATTTTTGACCCGACAATACCAGTTACGTGAATACAAATAAGGATACTAGTTAAGGGTTAACATCTGACTCCCAGAACCTTTATTCTCATTACTGTCATCTTTATCGTTATCTTTCTTACTATCATCATCCTCTTTTTTATCTATATTCATAACATCATCATTAATAAAATTGTCCTTAATCTTAAACTTCTTTTTTATATAACAATTATTTCTTCTCAATACATTCTCTTTTACATTTTTCACATAGTATGACCTGAGCCATTTTGTGTTCTTTACAACCTCTCCTTCATCCTATTCTTTTTTTAAATTATCATTTATTATTATTATTTATTTATTAACTTTTTTACCTTCTGTAAATTGATTTTCCTTGGGCCTTGCAGTTTTGTCATACCAATAATTTTGATAATTTTCTTGTTTTTGCATTTCTCCAGCACAATTTATTAATTTTGGTTTAAAAATTTTTGGATTTAGAAAATTTGTAAGTGTTCTTAGCTCCCTTGCCATTAACAATTGTTCAGGCTAGTATTCCAAATCTGCCACCGGACTATTTCTATAATTGAGTAAAAATAAATTGAGATCTTTTTCTCATATCTAGCTTTGGTAATCATCCCTTTCGCTATCCCTACCGCTTTCTCTGCCAAGCCATTACTTTTTGCATAGTATGAGCTAGACAATATTACCGCAAATTGCCACTGTGTGGCAAATGTTATAAACTCTTGTGAGCCACAAGGATTATTATCAGCAACTACTTGTTCGGGAATTCCAAACCTACTANTGACTGGCTTGATTTGTCTTTTAATTTTAATACTTCTAACCATCTGGAATAATAATCAATTATTATAAGATAATTATTATCAAATATTTCTGCGATGTCTAAACCTACTTTTTGAAACGGAACACTTGATCTTTCATGCTGTTTTAATGGTTCTTTAATTTTTTTAATACTAAATTGCATGCAAGTTTCACATATACTAATTGCATTTGTTATATCTGATGCCATACCAGGCCAAAAAAAAATTTGTTTGCTTTTTTTTGAAAGTTTTGTTTATACCTAAATGTGTTTCATGTAATTTTTTAATAATGTACTTGCACATAACTTTAGGTACAACCAAATGACAAACATAATAAATTAAACCTTTTTCCAACATTAACTCATTTCTTATTTTATGATAGTGTCTTATATTTCCTAGACTATTTATTTATTTATTTTTCTTCCTTTTTTCTACCATAAACTAAAATGTCATCAATATACACACACACATTTTGAATATCTCCAAAGTATTTATTTGTCAATTGCTGGAACAATTCAGGTGCACACGCTATTCCGAATGGTAGTCTATTAAAATTGTATGTACCATATGGTGTACTGAATGCACAATATCTTTTTGAACCTTCTTCCAACTCACATTGATAAAACTCATCTTTCAAGTCCACTAGTGTATACAATTTTTTATTTATTAATTTATTTCTAACTTCTTCTAGGGTTGGAATTTCGACCATTTCTCTCAAAATATTCTTATTAAAGTCCCTAGTGTCTAAACACATTCTAAGTGATTTATCCGGTTTTTAAATTACTACTAAACTGTTTTGCCATTCACTTTGCTTTTTACTTTTCTCAATTATTTTCCTAGAACATAACATTTTTAAAAGTTCCTTTAATTTTCCCATGGGGACACGTCTGGGACTAATTATTATTGGTACACTTCCATGGTTTACCTTTATCTTACCTTTATCCGGAAAACAGCAAAAACCTGTAAATAAATCTACGTGTTTTTTATAAACTTTTCTGTGCTAACTTTTTCTTTTATCTCATTTAACTCACTAATGTAGTTCAATCTTTTACAATCCTTAAACCCTAAAATTGAGTTTCCATCATATTCCACAACTTCAAATATTGTAATAATTTGTGCTGACTGACCTACAACAGCTACCTGTACTTTACCTAATGACTTAATTATTGTCCCACTAAACACTTTGGTTACCACCTTACTGTTTTATATTTCTGTCCTTAATTTTTTAGAAAACTTATTCGACATTACATTTAATTGCGCCCCTGTATCAATCTTTACTTCAGTGTTTATGTCATTAATTTTAACCTTTTCTAACTAAATATTATTATTGTCTTTGTTATCTATTTCATCTAATGTCAAATACTCTATACTCATATTATCGCTTGTACATTCAACCATGTCAACTTGCCTATTGTTTTTACATTTGTAGGCAAAATGATTTAACTTTTTACACATCCTACACTCTTTTTCATATGCTGGACATTCCATAAATTCATGTTGCTTACCACATTTATTACAATTAAATACCTTATCTTGATCATTCTTCCCGTTGTTGTGAGTTTGATTCTGTCTTCTGTCCTGGTTCTGCTCATTTCCTTGATTCTGTGTTCTTTTCTTGTATTGCTCCATTACATCAACTTCTTTAGTTTGATCTTCCAATAATTTGCTGTTTACCTCAGCTTGTTCCACTGCTTGACACGATTGAATTACTTTATCCAATGTTAATTCTTCTCTCAGCATTCTGGTTTGTAACTCTTTGTTTGCTATTCCCCATACAATTTGTGTTCTTAGTAATCTGTCTTCAATTTCTCCAAAATTACATGTTTTAACCAATACTCTTAGTTCAGCATTGTATTTATCAAACTTCTCATCACACAATTGTTTTCTAGTAAAGAATTTAAAATGTTCCATTATCTCGTTGCGCCTAGGTATACAATAATTTTCCAAGTGCTTCAAGATTGTCTCAACTGTTTCTTAATAGGTCTACTAGGTCTCTTAATTGACCTGTACAACTTCAGCCCATCTGTGTCAATTAAGTTAAGTAATCTTGCTACCTGTGTTGTTTGAGATTTTAGAATCGTCTCTGTTGCTTCAAAAAATACTGTAACTTCATCCTTAAATAGCTTAAAATTCTCTACTATACTACCGGATAATTATAAGCTTTCCGGTTTGATGAATTCCATTTTTATCTGTTTCAATCCAGTTTTTTACAGATTGCTGAACGCAACAACCGACTACGCCATGTTTTATATTTAATTTTCTTTTAAGATGATGTGACACATTATATAACATATTTAATAACTTATATGATGTATCGTGCTTATCATAATCTTATCATAGTCTTATCATTACAACAAATATCATGCAATAATATTATCATATAGGTATCAGGTAGTATCAATCAATCAATAATGACAATTTATTTTGTTAAAGAATAATGTAATTATTGAAAAGAAAATTATTAAAATTTTCAAAAAATCGTAGAAACTAAAAGACCATACTTCAACAAAAGTTTAAATCACCTAAAATGTTCTGAAAATCTCTTTTACAAAATGGCTATTTTGAATTTTTTTAAACAAATTATAAAATGTTTATTTTTAGGGAAAGGAACCTAAAAAAATGTTCATATTATATAAACTGTAGCGTTGAGGAATGCTAATTATTAAAAAAAAATGTGTATACCAAAAATATTAAGTAGAACAAAAGTTATTGCATTTGTCGAATAATCCTTGTGGGATATTCTGTATATGGACATATGTCTAATTATACACATATCTTATAATATAGGCGCAAAAAAAAAAGAATAATAATAATAATAGACTTGAATAAAATTGAGGGGTAGCAAAACTTTACTGACTTACTGGCCATCTTGAGCATTAAAACTCCCCACCAAATGCTCCAACCCCAGCCAACTAGACAGAACAGCACTGTAAACAACTGGGCAGCTGCCACGATGCAATTTACGCAGAACGCTCCCATCCTTGACTGGAGAGTGTCGTTGACCGTGAACCTGGGCTTACCGACGCACAAGCACAGCATTCCGCTGGACAGAGTGCCTGAAACCGAACGATATAGTATAGTATGTTATCATATAGCTCGCGGGTGTAAATCGAATACAATTTGTTTTGATATTTTTAGATGTTCAAGGATTGGGATATAACGTGCCATTGGAGGAAACAAGACTTAGTAGGAAACTTTGAAATAATTAAAGCTCCAACTCGAGTTAAAATAGGTAATAGATTAATATTTCCATACAGACAAATAAAAGTTCGATAATAATAAATCTTCACATATATGCTAAGTCCAATTCAATTTAAAAACATCAAAAATATTCTAAGTACTATTATTTAATTGCAACTAAAAACACAAGTCCAAAGAGCAAATAGAGTGACGCGTAGTTGCTCGCAATAGATCGTGGCGGACTCGTCCTATCAGACAATGTTTCGGGTGGCGTTATATACATTATGCTAATGTGATGTGCCCCCACAACCCGTTGTTCAAAGTTGCGTTGCTATCTATAGTTCGGTATCGTCGCTGGAATTAAAATCCAAGGACCTAAGCCCACAATAAATCAACCAATTTGATGATAGCCAAAACAGTAAATCAAACATACTATTATTAAATGCAGTTTAAAGTATAGACATTATAAACATTAACAGGAAATCTTTTCACGATGGTGTTGTTTATTCGTATTTAATTCGGAAATTAGAACACGACCGGCGTGGGCCCATGTGCCAAAACTTCAAGGGCCACAGCATAATTCGGTACAGTATTTTATTACAGGTCCATTTGTGTCGGGTAGGCATTTGGTTTCACGCGTTTCGACTACTATCTTTATACGGCTCGCACGTATCCCTTTACGCGCGGCGCCTGTGGGCACGTAACCCAGGGATTATCGATTTCGAACCGATACACTTATGGCGAACAACGAGGAAAATAAAATTGCTGCAGACATTTACCTCTGGACAGTGACTTATAAGTATAATATTAAACCCAGGGACGCACCGAAGGTAGGTGATGGAGAGGGATGCGACACCCCCCCTACACACTCGGCAATATTAGAATCTCAGTCGGCAATCGTCACTTGGTAAATGCTTTCGACTAAAATATATTAATATTCAAACATATTTTAATTTGATATTTCTGGGCGGCTATGTACAGTGTCTAGCCAGCTTAGCGAGAGCCGGTACAAGATAACTAAACCTATATATAGGTATCTATCTCTTATTTTACATTTTTAGCAATGTTCTGTTTCGTGGTATCAATAATAACTCTAATCGGAAATGTATTATTCTATAGCTGTTCTGAGCGGTGTTCGTGTTTTGTAATTTTAATATTTACGATTTTCGTTAAAATTTGATATTCAAATTCTTATAAAAATAATACTCCATTTCACTCAATTTTTTTTTTTTTTACCACAAAGTACGACTTACATGACTTATTTAGTGTTGTGTTTAAATTCTTCGGACAGTATTCCAATAAATAATATTGGCACTTTAAAAAAAATGTTTTGTTAGAACATATTATATATGCAGGTAGACTTGTTATACATCTACTTAATTATAACGTTCCAGCCTCTTAGCACATTTTTCACTGTGGCTAGACTAGTGGTATAAAATAGGTCTATAATAAAAATAATTTCTATGTACGCCATTGAATGTATCTATTATATTGAACATTCAATTGTATTATTAAATATCAATGCAATTTGATATTATAATATTGTTATTACCTATGTATTATATTATAAATAATTTATTGTTATACGTTTTTTAAGTACTTACGAATATAATATACCCACATTGGTTGCATTAGTTTGTAACTTTTTTGTTCCGAGTGTAATTAAAAATACACTCGATTAATCACTGAATACGTACCCATCAACAATAAATAACTGTTACTACACGAACATAAATATGTACCTACGTGAGTCAAGAAGTCCATTCTAATACAATTGTTTTATTACAGACTGTAAGCATAAAAAATGTACGCGCATACCTACAATATATATATACCTAATATAGTTTGACCAATAAAACACAACTCGTAAATTTTTTGTTTAAAATAACTTAATCACCTAACTATAATATTATACTTACTGTTCGTTTTAAATGTAATATTAACTTAAGTCCTGTAAAAACATTATGAAAATGTTTACAATTAATACCGACTGTACCTATAAGTTCATATAATAACAAAAAAACATAAAAACATATTTATATATTACCGGCAAAGACGTAAATTAAGGAATTAACATAAATGACTAGCCAATACCGACATTTCCAATCAAATTAGACAGTATACGATATTGACACTAGGAAGTAACGTTAATGTCCATTATTTTCAAGCAATGATGTATTTATAAATATTTCCTGGATAATGACGATAATTCCGGGCTATTTTAGACATAATTGATAAAAATGTTAAATCAATTATTTGTTGGTTGAATTAGAAACAACCTTGCGTTGTAAAATCGATTTATCGATAAGATAAATTTAACCAGTTTCAACAAATCGAGCGTTCAATTCAGGTTAGTAATCTTCATGTTAGATAATTATTATTTTATTAATTAACAGCTTTATTGATTTAATAACTATAATATAAATATTTTTAAATATTATTTGTACTACAAATATTAAAATAATAAATTGGTACATTTTTACAAAATTACTATGTAGGTACGGAGTATGGAATGCTAAAACATAGGGTCACTAGATCACAATTGATTCCATGTCTAGAAAATATATTACTATAACTATAATATATAACTACGAAAAGACAATTACGGCTGCCGGAGAAAAAGTAGTTACCGTTCGTGAGGCTGTTGGCTATGAAATCGCGGGATCACAAGGATATACTTAATGTATTTGTAAAACTAATAGATATGCTGCAAAAAAAAATAAATATATTTTATGAAATCCTAAGTGTCACGGTACAATAAATTTTGAAAATAAAAAATTATGTATTATCAATAAATCAATAAATCAAGTATTATCAACATTGTCTATCAGTATTAGATATTAAGGTAATTTCCTAGCCATAGTTGTAAATGTGTTAGCAAAATATTTGAATTTTAAATTATTGCCTATGTTATCAGTTAACGTCTAGGCATTGACGATATCATCTATTAATATCGTAAATGTCTATCATCTATTAATGTTAGACGTTTACGATATTGGCTAGACATTTACGTTATTACCTAATTCCATCGTTGACGGTAACATATATAATATATATACATATAAATCATCAATTATTATTTAACTAGACTTTTTCCTATTAATTCGAGATTGAAACATCAATATTATCCATTAACAATATTAAGTTTTATTTTTGTTCGATTGACTATAGTACCTATACAAATTATAGAAATAATGAAATAATATTGTTACCTAAGTACCTAAATGTAAATCCACCTAAGTATAATATTTCATAAGTGACAAAACTTATAAAGATTTAACAAATATAAATTATATATACTCAATACTGCTCATAGGTAGACGAGTGTTGTGTGGGAGAAGTTAGAAAGGTAGAATATACACCTAGGGTGATTTAGCTTATATAATTTATGCATACGATAAATCATTACAAACAAAAAACCATTCTAAGCTGTAGAAAATAATAAATATCTACAATAAATGCCATAATATTTTGAAAATTGTACTAAATTAAAAAAATGTTAATCTAAATGCATGTTCCAGATTTCTAAGATTATAGAATCTTCACTAAATTATTACAAAAAAAAAGTTAAAAAAAAAAGAGCTGATATTGTGCCACTATAATAAGTGGAAAGGTGGGAAGGCAGGAAACATGAAGTTATTTAATTTATATCTGTAAACAACGATACACCATTGTTAACGAAAAATTTCTGAGCAAATTTCGTTTATACAAAGACCGTAATATTTACAAGTTTCATCAAAATTTGATCTTAAAACTATTGAAAAAAAATTATTACATTACACTCTTTGTTTTTATTTGAGTACAACTTATAATGAACCTCCTATTAAATCGTCAAGCATTTCTATTCGATCAAATAGTTATATTTTTTTTTTTATTTATTTATTAATATAATTGTGTTAATACACCAAGTATTTTTACAATGTTACAATTTTTTTTTAAATTATAATATTATATTATTATATAATTAATTATGTAATGTATAATAGGTTTAATAGATTTGATAAGCTATGAGTCTGGCTCTGAGGTTGAGGTGTCTTCATTGGGATCTAGTAGAATGTCCTGAGGTAGCCGAAGTTTGAGAAAATAAATAGTTATATTGACATATTACCTACCATATAAAAACTACGTAACAAATTAGCAAACATAAAATGCCTATAAATATAGCTTAAAAATCACCAAAATGTTTTGAAAATGTTACCATTTCTAGAAAAGACAAATATTAATTATTTGTTAAAATTTGAAATGTCTATTTTTAACTGAATTACACCAAAAAAAAAAAAAAAAAATGAAAATAATTCATCATTATTTCCGTAAATTTTTTTTTCCTACCATTCTTTTCGGTATTAATTAATTATGAAAAAAAAAAACTTCACCAAAAAAAATGCTTAATTATTAAAAGTCTCTTGTCGTTTATCAATTGGAGCAATATTTATGGTAGAAAACATAACCCATACAAATTAAAAACAATAAAATCTCGGTAATGCTACGGTGAGCCGTAAGTATTTGCTGTTTTTCAGATAATTTTTTTCTAATTATTATAAAAACCCCTTGGAAAATCAAAAAATGACCACCTCAATCTACCAACCAGATACAATTTTCTTTCAGAATAAGTACTACACTTGATATATCAGAATAAGTTTTCTGTTCAAAAAGACATAAAAAATAAATAAAAAAAGACGTCTTAGGATAATGGGGATATGTGGAGCTACTGTTATGGGTAATTTAATGTATATCTGTAAGCAACGATAAACTATTGCTAATGAAAAAACGATTCTGAGTGGACTTCAGGTGATGCTTTGTTAACAGTATATATGTCGTATTATGATAAAATAATTAAATAGACTTTATATATTTTCTTTAATAATATTTGTTTTATGTACCGATTTTCCCGTTTTTCCACGAAAACGTGCTACACTTAAAAATCGAAACAAGATCTTTGGTAGAAAGGTTGTCTACAGAAAAAAAAAATATCTTTGTAAAACTATAAACTTCTTCGCTCCACTCAGAACCTAAAACTAACACTGAAGACACGTGTGCAGCCTCTGTTCAAAAGTTGTTTTGAAATATTTTATTTTTTGCAGTTGTGTCACTTTTGAAAAACTAGCGCGACGATGCGGCTTTTGCAGCTCAACAGCCTAAAATATGTTTATAAATTATTGTTTACACACCAATATGTACCTTTTTAAAATAATTACCCGTATCCCACTATATAAACGCATACAAATAATACATACATGTATTATTTCATATTTCCAAGAGCGGTTACGGTCGTGAGAGGAGTTTACCCCTCGTTTTTTGTACGTTAAATTGTATCAAACACCACATTAGAAATATCACGCGTGTATTTAAAATCTACTTAAATGTGTACAAATATTATTATAGCCTCTTCACAACATAATATTATTAAAGTCACGCTCCGCCTATTATACCGTCCCATTGCTTTGGTGCTTGTATAGCACATAATACTATAACGAAAAGTCACTGTAGTTTCAAAGCCAACTGCGTGTTTAGAAACGATTTGTTTTTAATTGCACAGTTTATAATTAACACAGTTACATTAAATTATTTTTGATCGTTTGCAATGAGTTTCATAATAAATTTAGCTGCGAGCCGATCCATAAACCGATACTCAATAATTTTGAACCCAACATTTTCGGAGAAAAATTACTGTTAAAACTCTAAAATATGTATACAAAAAAAAATTATTGTGTATCAGTTTTATACCGGTAAAAATAATTATCAGCCCATCCCCATACAAAATTAAGATAAATAATTCAATATCAATAATATATAAACATAAATAATAATCAATATTAGAGGAATGTGGTATGCCAGGTAAGAGGTAATGCTGCGCACCTCATTATCTGATTTACCTGTTGTGGTTTTAAGATTCTATTTTATATGATAAAAGGTTAAAATCATCATCAGGTCTGTTTTACCATATAGGAAAAAATTGAATAACTATAGGCATATTATAATATTTGTCTTCTTAGTTATTCTTAGTCCTTCTCTCCCCCGTACGTCTTCTCACCGTTACAACCAATTTTTGTCAACGACAATATAATTATTATAACTATGCACACACACCATCTATCATTATAATTTAACAAAATAATATTACTCGTACGCAATTTGTTACCTATACGGAATATAACCGTTGTCGTAACCCCCGTCACCACCACCACACCATCCTAAATAATACGAAATTTTTTATATTCTTATATACCTATACGAAATATAATCGTTGGCGACAACGGACCTCTCGACCCTCCAAACTATAATATGCGTACCGCGGGTCCCGTTCCGGGAATCTAGAACGAAAAAATGTATACATATGTATCGACAGCACGCACATTACGTGTTGCTTGCCTGTAAGAACCTGTATAAGAAAATGTATTGTTCTCCGTTTTTCTGTTCGATCGTGCACAAATTCTCTCTCCGAACGTAAACCGATTTTTGTAGGCATTGGATCGCTAACGATCTGATCGTCAGTAGTGATTTTACTACGAACCAGCGTACTCGTCTTTTCCGGTTATCTCATCGCTTTCGTTTGGTGTTAATTATTTTAAATTCTTGTAAATTAGAGATGGGAACTATGGTTCATCTAAGTGATCCGATTCTTTCAGATCGGCTCATCAAGAAGATCCGGATCAAAGACCCGTTCGTGATCTGATATGTTTTTTTGAGCCTATACTGAATCAGAACTAGAAGAGAGAGATGTGTTGTCGCGAACGACTCGGATCTTTTGAACGGGTCAAAATAATGAACGATTCTTCAGTTCAATTGTCGTGGTTTCCAAACGGTTCGCGAATCGCGTGATGACTCGGCCATAGATAAGATATTATAATTTGTATTTTGTATGTCTCGAACTTCGTATAGATCCATGGATTAAACATTCGGTAGCGGTACGATAACGTGTGCAAAAAGGTGGAGCTTAGTTTCGGAACCGCTCCATTTCTCTCATTCTCATAATAAAACTCAAGATATCTCTCTTAGTCTCTTAGTCCGTTTGGCACGGCTCACGACCGTGTCTCCAGAGCCCAAGTAGTCCAAGTTCTAAGTCCTCTAGGCAAATCGCAAGTGTACCAACTACCAATGTACTGAATATTTAATGAAAATATCAAATATGGAGTATAGATAGATATTAATTACTAGTCGAGAGTCGGCAATACGTCATAAGTTGTACAGTCTTCGAAATCGAAAAACATTAAATCTTAAC